CAGCGCACCAGAAGTTTAATGCCCTCGTCTTATCACCATAAGTCAAGGCCCAACCTAGCCTGACCCACTCCCCTTCTCCTACTCCTACAGGTTTGCTCCTCCCTTTTGCAGACGACCCAAACACCTGTGCTAGTAGTGTCTTCTACTTGTGGTGCTAAGCCAATTGTCAGCATCATCACGTTAACAACAAAGCAGAGAATAGCATACACACACAACCTACTTCTCCTTCTTTTTCTCCTTCTTTTTCTCCTTCTTTTCCTCCTCTTCTAGAACACCAGCTGTGCTTGTGATTCTCTCCCCTTCTGGTGGCGAGCCCAAGGTAAGCAGAAGCACACCTACAAGGATGCAGAGAATCCCTACAAACCACGTTGGTTTGAGCACTTCCCCAAAGAGTGCGAAACCACAAATGCCGCTGACAAGAAGATTAGCAGATGCATTGATAACAGTGGCATGCAGTGTGGCCAGCAGTTTTAAGCTCTTGACATATAAACTCCACATCGCGACATTGCAGCACACGACGGCAGCGTAGCAAAGTACGCGACACAGCGTGAGCCCAACTAGCAGCAGCCTTTGGCAATCATCATCATCATGATCATCATTCAATGTGGATGAATCTGGATCCATTCTAAATAAACATGCACTCGCACCTGGACGGTAAAATAACCGAAAATGTGAAAGCAAACACGAAAGTCCAGTCACCAGCAAGTCGTCGCTCGTGGCCAGCTTCCCAGCCACGGAGGCCATCGCTGCACATGTCCCAGCTAATGCACACAACAAGTAACTACCCCCCCCATGACTCATGCTGCTCATCGCTGCCCTCACTGTACTCCGGATGTCCATGCTTCCCCCCCCCCCCCCCCCTCCCCCCCCCCCACCCCCCCACCCACCTCCCCCCCCCCCCCCCAAAACCCCTCTGGATCAGCAAACCCTCTCTTAATCAGTAAACTCAGTCTCGGGTTCAAACCCACTCCTTTTCCTCAGCAAACCCCAAAACCACTCTTTTGATCCATAAACTCACTCTTGAGTTCAAACCCAACAAACCCACTCCTGATCTGCAGACTCACTTTTGATCAGGAAAAGCTACTCTCGATCAGGTCGCCTGTGACGCCGTTGGAGAGAGAGAGAGAGAGAGAGAGAGAGAGAGAGAGAGAGAGAGAGAGAGAGAGAGAGAGAGAGAGAGAGGGGGGGGGGGGGGGGGGGGGGAGCTCCGTTAAATGACCCACCCACTGTAGTAGTAAAGCACAGCACTGGCTCTTTCACTCGATCGCAAACGCATTCCACCTACTCTTGAGTTCCAACCCACTCTTGATCAGCAAACTCAGTCTTGATCAGGAAAAGCCACTCTCACTAAGGTCGCCTGTGACACCCTTGGGAGGGAAGAGAGAGAGAGAGAGAGAGAGAGAGAGAGAGAGAGAGAGAGAGAGAGAGA